GAATTACGTTGGTCAATCGCGTATTTGTTGTCAATCCCGTTGTCATACTTGAAACACGTTAATTTAATATTTCTGACAGATAGAATGTGAACACGATAACATGTATGCACGTGGACTGATAAGAGAAAACAATAAAAAATATACTTTCTATTTTAAGACAATGAGGTAAGCTACATCGACATTGTCGTCGCGGCGTTAATGGACTCAAAGAGAAGTGATCGAAGCACACACGAAAATACGAAAGTACGGTGATTCCACCGGATGTGGAACGGCTTGTATAATTACTTCGATCATTGCGGTTGCCGTGAACGATCTCTCTGGATAATTTGAGATACCGATATGTATCGTAACAAGCTCGTGATTTAGTCGTAACGCTTTCTCGCCAACCTTGACGATTCCGGCCACGCGCAATTCATCGTTAGTTCGTCTTAACATCGCAATTACACGGAGCAGTGTCCATACAGACTCGCTTCTATGCTTTTGTCCGTTTTGTTTTCGTGCAAAATATCAGCAATATACACGGTTTCCGATAACTATGACGTCAGGCTTTTCTATTCACGACCATTTTCATCGGGGGTGAAACGTAAACAAATCTCGAGGATCAGATAGTAATCTTTCTGTTTTTTTTCAAGAGCCTTTGTTGAAAAGTTTGTTTAAGAACGCGGCTATCAGACGGCTTATTGCGAAAACTAATATTTGTAAATTTTCTTTAAAATTCCTCCCTATTTTACTTGTTCGCGGAGTACCTAATTTTCTGGTAGGAACTTTATTCGTTTGTTCACTCAGAGAGGATTTGACTTGTGAGAGGTAATTACAGAGCGGTCGATAACTTTCTCCAATTATGCAACGATGCCAGCACGAATTTTCTGGGAGATTGGTTTATTTTCTCTCCTCAAATATTAATCGGGTATATATCTTCATTGTTTGTCGTGGTGTCATTGTTTGGCTATCTAATAAATTCCATTATCTCCTTCCGCGATGTTTGTTGAGGAGGCTGATGTTTAAAGTTCAAAAGCTATTATTTTCATAATTCGCGCGCGATCGCGATTATAGCGCAATTATCAGCCGTTACATTGTTCAGGTACGATGACAAAGTTCACGCGTACATCTGACGCTTTCCTCCGAAATCTCCCGCGACTTCGGCAATCTCTGACCGACGACAACGCGAACTGCGGACGCACTTAATTCGTAAACCTGTTTTCAGATATCGTTAATATCAGACTTACGTTTCCTTTACGATATCCTTTGATTGGTTACGCGACATTGCGCAAACGTGCATTTCTTTGTCAACTGGAAAATAATTCCGATCTTTTGCCATGATAATCAAGCTAGCAAGAACGTAAGTGTGCACACACACAGAATGTCTCGAAAATCTTTCAAAATTACACCTCAATTTTAGCTGTCAAATTGTGATAATCTGTTATCAGAAGGAAACTATTAGATAAGGACAGCAAATATCTTTATGATAGTCGAAACATCGAAATAATCAGATTGTATGAGTAAGATTGTATCACTGCGGGAGGTAGTCACTTAGATACAAATTTACTTAGTAACAAATTTGTGTTAAATTTAACATATTTCACATGTCTCAATTTATCTACTCTAATTTTTGTGTTAATCTAACACAAGGTAAATGTATAAATAAATAATATGTCGGAAATTAACACAAAAATATAACACTTGGACACGATTGCGTTATTTTAACACTTAGAAAAATGATGAAATACGACGCAGAATAGCCAACATAACGACAGTGTGTCAAGTTAACATACGCATCAGTATATAAAATTTAACACAAATTTCCGCTTCGATCGATTTCAATACAAAAATGTTTTTTTATCGTGTAGTAATAAAGTAACTCAACACGCTTATCCATAAGTAGAGTGAGAAAAGAAATTCTTCTTCTATCTTATCAAGAATTCAGCACTTCTCATTGAGGAAAGCGTGAACTTCTAATTCTACGTTTGGCTTCGAGATCTCGATACTTAAGTTGCGATCATATGATTAATCTCGGACAATATGACGTAAGTTCAAGTACGTTAAACTGGCAAACTTTAGCCGAGAACTTTAACTGAGAAATGACTGCTTGCTATGAAATAACGATATCTCGACGGTGAATAGGTCTCATAGATCGAGTGCGTTGGCTCTTGACGTACAATTGAATCCCGCGATCTCTTGTTGTTCGACGTCGTTGCTTATTAATTCCTATCAATTCACGTGTGACGTCAGTAATCGCAAATATGTATCTTCTCGTAAGGAACGCGCGATAATTACCGTTAATGTTTCTCGCGAGCCACATGTGCCTCTCGTGCACGGTGCATTGATCCGCGATCGGTGCATTATTAATTATTACTTCATCTCACATCTGTCTTCGCATAATCGTTAATACACATGTTCCTGCGCGACTGACCGGCAATATTTGCTCGATCAAAATGTGAAACTCCAGGGATATTACACGATTCGCGCATGTCGATGTTTTATCATTTTGTACACATGCCGCAGAAGGAAGGAAGAATTTGATGCGATTAATATGTTTCAGCGAGAATGATTGATTAAAGAATTGTAACCGATATATCACGGTGTGCGCGAAACTTTTAACGATCGATCTTCCGTATGTATGAGGCGCAATTCCCCCCATCGCGGATAATGAAAAGTCATTAACGAGACTAGCAGTGAGTAATCTCTCACGAGTGAGATAAATGGTTTCACCGTAAATTTCGATTGTTCGAGAAGGCGGTGATGTATTCAAGCAGCTGTGGTATTTTGTTTCGTTTGCGTTTATGTGCCACGGACAATCGACGAAAAGATAATACAATTCAATCTGATGTATATAAATCAGCCGTTTTTTATTAGAATTATTTTATATTATGTTATAGATTGAGACGTATCAATCCTCTGTTAATTACGCATAACGCGTGAACGAATAGTCATCCTTATTGGCGCGAACAAAACGTCAAAATATCGAAAGCTATATAGAGAGAACGATTTATTGAATCAAATGTTTCTTTGGAATAGTCCAAACAAATTATTTGGTTGACAACAAAAATATTTCTTTGGAACTAAGCCGCGAATAAATATTTTTATTGCGTCAAACAAGATTTTGTTCGATCAATAAAAAAATTCGTTTGGACTATTCCAAAGAAGTGTTTATTTGATTCAACCAAATCGTTCTCTCTGTGTACTTGGATACATTTCCTTTTGTACGTTTTGCTTTGCATATCTCTCTCTCTCTCTCTCTCTCTCTCTCTCTCTCTCTCTCTCTCTCTCTGTGCCTCTCGGGAAGAGATTACCGAATGGTATCGTTCCTCCTTGATCTTCCTGCGCGCGTGCGGCGCAAAATGCCAAAGCAAGCGAATCTCGTTCCGACACGTGATGTCAGCGTTCGTCTCGGTATCTCTCGTACGGCCGTACGAGAGATACGGCGAACAAAGCGATGCTGTTTCTATCGGTCCGCGGTGTGATAGCTGACGTTCGTACTCGCCTCCTCTCTTCACCATCCACGTCCCCGCCACGCAGTTTTCGTCGACATTCGCACATCATCTGATAACCTCGTGTAACTATTTCGCCCCGCCCGCTCTTCTCTCTTATGTTATTATATTTCTTCCTTATGTCCTTAGGACTTGGTGGCAATGCCGATCGGTAATTAATGCGTAATACACAGCTGCCGATCTCATCCCCGACACATGCGCGTGCATACGTGTTTTTTCTTTTCTTTTAGTCGTTTTCCTCTTTTCGGCACGTAAATCCAGCGCACTTGCGACGCTTCTCACGGACATAAACATAAATATTGCACAATCGCGCGTGCATTATCGCGCCGCGAGATTCGCGGCGTATGTACGTATACGTGTACGCATGAAAAGCCTGAATCGTAGGAGACGCGAAGATCGAACTCGCAAAAATCCGAGAAATATTTAAACACACACTTTGTGTGCGCGTAATTACATCGTAATTATTATTTGCCCGCGAGAAATGTTTAAAGAACCGCAAAGCTCTTTCACAGGAGCACCACTGAGATCACCAATGCGCTATTTCATTCTTTTTATCGTGTGAATTTTTTCGGTAGGACGAGATCACGTGATGTTGTTTGAGCACAAAATGTGTCGTACGATCGCAAGATGTACGCACGATACCAATAATCTTTTTTTCTGTTCCCTCTTTTTCCTTCTTCTCGACGTGATTGACGTAGAACGTCTTCTAAATATACATATCCAGATCAAGTGTCAAAATAGATAGAAAAAGAGATAGAAAAAGAGATAGTCTTATCGTGAGGTTGTACGAATTTAATTTGAACGTTCTCACTTATCGATTTATCGGGGCGAGTATCTCGCGATATCGCGATGTGATTTGTTATGTTAGTATGCGCGTTATTTCAACATCTTACAGTAAATACGATATACTTCGAAAAATCGCGCACTTCGAAATATATCAGGAAAATGGTACCTCAGAGTTGTTGGTCATGCGCTCATTCTTTGCAAAATCGATTGTTCTCGACGAGTTATCATCGAAAGTATATCCCCTTGTCCACAACCTTGTTTTAATCCTTAAGCTGTAATAAATTGACCAACCACAGTTGATTATTTTAAAAATAATCAACTGTGGTTGATCAATTTATTACAGCTTAAGGATTAAAGCAAGGTTGTGAACAAGGAGTTAGAATAGAATATCTTTTATTAGCGCTATGTCTTGATTCAATTACCCTTTTCTACTTTTAGCTCAACGAAAAATCACAAGTGTATCTTGAATTAAGTTGATCCCGTTACATAAATTAATATAGATACTCGAAATTTACTGAAAAATTGGTCCTCGCTTAAAAACAAATACAAATTGTTTCTATAAAATCACACTTTGCTATTGCAACGTGAATGTATTGTTATCGTGTTTGCCGATTCCAATCCATCGTCTGACAAAGAGGTCGACAGTTTGTCGCTGCTCACGAATGTTTTATCAAACTCGATTAAGTTCTGCTCGGATTCGTAATATTTTTTTTTCTTTCGTTTTAGGAGAAATCACGAGTCATGTATTGCGCGTAGCACGTGAGGCGCGACAACGCACTCTCGGACCGTTCAGTCCGTCTCTTAATGTGCATCAGATTATGCTGGAGAACCTGCAGAAGGTAAGTAGAACGACAATTAACAGCGAAATATCGCGTTACCACAAAGATTGAATTTCTTTTCTCCATGTTCGCCCTTTCTGTTCCAACCTGGCTGACACCGTCGCATTCTACATTATGTATGCAGAATAATTGAAGAACTAAGAATTCTACTTTCATTTAGGATGCAAATCTATTATGAATCCTACATATTCATTCGCTTCACAAGGATCGCTATATCGATCCGTGCCTTTGGTTCTCAAGTTTAAATATTGCGTTAATTAAAAATTATACGAACTACAACGTATACATGAAAAATATAGAAATAATATGTCTATTTATAAACGTGTTTAAGTGCTTTGTATAAAAAAAATTTATCTTGCATGAATATATATATATATATATATATATATATATATATATATATATATCACGCGGAGTAAATTACACCAGCTATACAGATAAATGTAGCCGAAATCGTTCATGTTATTAACTAAGTTTTTGCACTCTGTCAATAATTCTCTTACTTTCTGAAGAAACGAGAAGCGTACGAGTTGCATTCAAGACATAAACGTTCAGGATAGATGTATCATTCGATCAGTTTGATTAGTTCGATCGTTCAATTGGGTTATAATATACTGTGCTGCTTGCCATAGATGCAATTTAAGACAGATGTCATTGTTGATTTTTTATTTCAGTTTTTACCGGACGATGCTCACATCCGTGTAAGCGGTAAATTGCACATCTCTCTGACCAGAGTATACGACGGGAAGAATGTGATTGTCTCGCAATTCGGTTCGAGGGAAGATCTACTACAAGTACGTGAAATCAGTTGTGCATTTATCATTTACTCTGTAATACGCACTATTCCAGGTATAAGAAGAATGTTGTCTTTGTTAGGAAAGATTGAAATTGATAGAAATTACTTTCAAACCGAGCGTTACAGAATTCGATAGGAATTTCTATTAATCAAAGTAGTTATTATTGTATGACCACAATATATTTTTTCATTTAGAAAGAAGTTCTCTAGTCTCGTTTTTAATAATAGAAAAATTAATAATTCTATTCGAAAGCGAGCTCAACGTAAGAAACGTAACTCTTGCATCGAATTGATAATCTCGTTGTTTTCAGTCTCATTGTGGTAAAACGTCGAAATCGGGTGCACACTTTATCTTTCGTGAGGAATATAGAGCACAACAATGTATACTGATATCGTGATCTCTTCGTTCAACAACATATTTCTGTGACATATTTTTTGCTTCTTATACGCGGAATGGCAAACATGCGTAACGTTATGACGCAATGATTGAGAACGTACGATATAGATAAGATGTGTTGATGTCGTTTCTAACAACAACAACCTGTCGAAAGAATTTACGTTTATTTGGCTATACTCGCATAGTTTTGTGCGTCATATATCGTATGATATATATCGACACATCATTACGATACATAAAATAAAAATTAGTTACGAAAATAGATGCAAGCATATCGCGCGTTTGATGTAGCAAATTTTAATTGTTTCTTCGTCACGAGTGTTATTATTAAGAGTATATATCAGCTTATATCTCTAACATAACAAATCTAATAAAATTAACGTTGATTACACGGAATCGTTAAATGAAAACGTAATTAAACTGTGCGAAAATTTTCAGTTTGCTTTCTTGAGAGTAGCCTCTTCATCTATCCAAATCTTCATTTCTCTTGTATTAATGCCGGATATTTTTCTTTGTGCAGGCTCTGATGGCCACTTCGTTCGTGCCACTGTTCTGCGGTCTGTTACCACCGCGATATCACGGCGTCAGGTACATGGACGGCGGTTTCAGCGACAATCTACCTACGCTTGACGAGAATACCATTACCGTTAGTCCGTTTTGTGGAGAGAGCGATATTTGTCCGAGGGACATTTCGTCTCAACTTTTTCACGTACGTACATGCATACACTCGTCGTCTCGGCATATATCAATATAACTTGATCACTCACTTGATAACTCGTTTAAATTAACACGAATAATTAACGAGTTTAACAACTGTCTTGACAATTGAGATTATTGTGTCTAATTACCATTATATACACTTTACAGGTCAATCTTGCTAATACGAGCATAGAACTCTCTAAACAAAACATCTACAGATTCACAAGGATACTCTTTCCGCCTAAGATCGAGGTATGAAATATATCGAGATGTAAATATCATAATATCGTGCAGGATGAGAGGCAGTATTTAATTTTCATCTTAAACTGCGGACACTTGAGCTTACAAGCTTAATTTTGAAGATGATTATTTTTTCTATGCAGGCGAATATCTATCTTAAATATACACAAATTCTCTAGCTATAATGAATATAATTCGAACATGCTTTTTTATTACAGGTCCTTTCGAATATGTGTAAACAAGGATTTGACGATGCATTAAGATTTTTACATCGTAATAATATGTTAACTTGTACGAGATGTCTTGCAGTACAGTCAACATTTGTCGTATCGGAGACTCTTGATGAAAGTATGGAATATGATCCAGAATGTTTAGAATGTAAACTGCATAGACAGGTGAGAAGCTTATATAAAAATATAAATACCTTTAATGTAATAAACATAATTTCTTTTATATAAAGAGAGTATGTGCATTAAACATTTATTTAATATACATAAATCTTTGTGATATCGCAATTGTTTGTTTTACTTTACGACTCTTTGCTTGTGAAAACATCGACTTAATTACGATCTGCATTTCGCAGGAGGCTAATGTTGTCAATACTGACCCAACTATTGAACCTTGAATTATCCATAAAAAATTTTTTGGTATTTCCTGTTTATAACACACATATTTTTATTATATTTTTATTACATAAGCTATCTCCTATGTTATATTCGTAGGAAGCACTGGTGTCAAAGTTACCTGAGACAGTTCTGACAATATTCCAAGATGCTATAGATTCTGCCAATAAGGGACTCATTAATTGGCTATTTAAACATCGTAGTATGAAACTACTGTCGTTACTGAGTTTACCCTGCACGATACCAGCAGATATAATGTATGCAACCGTCACAAAGTAAGTAACTATTGAAATGTATATATACATACACGCATACACACATATGTATCCGCACTTTTATATGCATTTTCTACTGCATTGCATGAGCAATTGCATGTTGTTGATCACAAATTCAGCCGACAGAGTGCAATTTCGCCAATCATGATTATTATTCATTACCTCATCGGAAATATTCAAGAGCGAGCACAACGATCGAGTGGTAGGATTTCAGAAGATCGATTTGACTTGACAGTTCTAATATTTTGCATCGAATACAAGAGACAGTTGTTATTTGATAGAGTTGCGAACGTTGTGCTCGTATATCCATTTAACCACATTCGTTATTATGTTTAACGTCATGCATGTCGTTGATAGTCTGATTGGTAACAAGATAGAAACACGCTCTTTGGAATACAAAGTAGTCGGGAATGTTCTGCGTATGCCGCAACAGACGTTTCCTTGCTCTAAGCACCTAACACCTTCCGGGTAAGCATCCGAAGGCTTTCTCGATTTCATGATGCACAAGCGTGTGTCTACGAAATTATCAAAGTCAGCTTATATTATCTAAAATAATATATTCATTAATTATAAATGTGCCTTGATGCATTGCTGCTATTAACACCATCACTCTACTTTCTCGAAAATGTCAGCTTTTCTTAAATTATTTGCAATTTATACTTTATAAGTACACCTTCAAGGTGTAAAAAGTCGTAGAGATATTTTCAACGTATAAGGAAAGACTGAAAAGGTAGGACGTAAATATTCACAAAATACTTAGTTTTCACAAAATAAATATATTATATGTAAATGTGTCATAAAATGGCAAACACAGGCATATACGCATATGTGTATATATATATATATATATATATATATATATATATATATATATATATATATATAT